CCAATAGGACACAATTTTAGAAAAAGCTCTGGAATCGTCCCACCCAAATGAAGTTGCTTACCTTCAAACACCTTTAAGAGCTTATTAAGTCTAAAATTACTCTAGATGAGTATCTAACCAAAGAATATGAAAACCTAATTCAAAAAGATATATGCACCCCTATGTTTATTGCAGCATTATTTACAATGGCCAAACTATGGAAGTAACCCAAGTGTCCACTGATAGATGAATGAATAAAGAAGACACACACACACACACACACACACACAGGAATATTACTCAGCCATCAAAAAGAATGAAATCTTGACATTTGCAACAACATGGATGGATCTGGAAGGTATAATGCTAAGTGATATAAGTCAGTTAGAGGAAGATAAATACCATATGAGTTCACTCATTTGTGGAATTTAAGGAACAGAGGAGATAAGAAACAAACAAAAAAACCCAGTCTTAACTATAGAGAACAATCTAATGGTCACCAGAGGGAGGTGGGTAGGGGGGATGGATGACATAGGTGATGGGGATTAAGAGTAAGTACATTTATCTTGATGAGCACTGAGTAACTGTATAGAATTGTTGGATGACTAGATTGTACACCCGAAACAAATATAACACTGTGTGTTAACTATATTGGAATTGTAAAAAATGAATTAAAAAAAATAATAACTAATCAATAAATAAAGTTACTCTAGATGGAATGGTTTGAACAAAATCATGTTTATGAAGGAAACTTGAAAATGTCTCCTACCCTCCACTGAGAATTCCCACCGAGTTTTATTCTGTTGGTTCCTTATGTCAGATGTCCTAGAACTCACATTGCACCTGCTCTCTGCTCTGTAAAGGTCAGGTACCAGCCCTTGACCAAGACCAACGCAGGTGTGCCCCAGGGTCTTCATGACGCTTTCTGTTGATGCTGTTCCACAGGGACAGTGAGGGGTGTCCTTCAAGGGAGCTAGTTTGTAGAGTATACAGTCCAGACGAGGAGCTAGACAGCAGGGTGTTTGTCATTGCAAACAGAGGCCCCTTTCAGCTACCATCAGCTATTCAGTCATTCACTGAGTGAATAAACACGAGAGCAAGTTTTGATGGAGCAAGTGGGGATGGAACGTGTTGGCGCTGGGAAGTGCTGTGTGAGATGTGCACCAGTGAGCGCCAAAGATAACCGTCCCTGCTCTGGAATTGTAATGGGGTATGTCCTCTGGGCCAAGGAATTTCAAAGGGCCTTACAGGGCCAGGGACAAAGGTGAGACAGACTTCCCATGTCTGTGGCACAGCCCATTTTGCATCACATTCATGTAATGATCTCTGAGACCCAAACAATGGTGGTGTGTTTAGTCTCTGCCGCTGGGGGAGGAGCATTAGAAGTCTCCTCACGATCGAGAGGACTCTTGGCTGCAATCTTGGGCCCTCTGAGGAAGATGTTGGGTATGGAGCAGATGCCCCTCCAGCTATTTGGCAATCTGTGTGATTCCTGAGATGGCACAGTGCATAGTTTGAACCGTACTGGGGGGCAGGATGGTTGGAGATCACAGGGCCCTGCAGAGAAGCCCAGCCAAGCTGACTTCCCCTGATCCCAACCAGACTGATGGCCAGAAATCCAAGGACGAGTTGTGGTGTCTCCTTTCTCTGGGGACCCATGACAGCTTCCCTTGAGGCTCTGACGTGGGGTTGGTTAATCTGAAACCTGTTCTCTGGAAGACCTCTTAACCTCTTCTTTTCCGGACCTGCTCAGCCCGTCTTTCTTACCTGTTACTCATGTGACCTCTAGTGGCTAGAACTGGTAAAACTTGCTCCAGGGAGGGTGGTTTGGGCTGGAATATTAAGAATTAAAAAAAAAAAAAAAAGAAGAAGCAGGAAAATGTCTTTTAATGTTCAATACTTGACTACTTCTCTATATTAACCCTTTGCCCTCTTTATGATTCTCCTTCAGCACACAGCCCATCATCTAATTTAGCCATAATCAACAATTTGGGTTCCAGACCAGATCCAACTCTGATTTAACTCTAGCTAACGGTAACTTGGGCTGGCATTAGCCTCTGAGTCTCTGTAATCTAAACCATTCACAGATGTCATGGCATCAACCTTGACTACATCCCAGGGTTGTTGTAAGGATCAAATGACATGAAGCCTATAAATAAAATGACACATAAATGTGCTTGCTATTACTACAAAGCCATTGAGTCTGTGATTCTGTACACCAAGATTGCTTTATTTCATGACTTTGGTGAAAACATTTAAACTCTTTGCTCAGATTCTTTACTGGGAGTTTTGTCCCAATCCACAAGCATTTAACAAGTGATGCTACGTATATGTCATAATGTACTTACTGGTTCATTCAACAAACATGAGCTCTTGCCTTGTGCCAAATACCCAGTGGGTGCTGGGATCCAGCAATGACCAGGACAGACAAGATCCTGCTCTAATGGAGTTTACATTCAGATGAGTTAAGGGATTCATAATGGTTGAAATCATCCCTATCCTGAGTTGACATTATAGCTTAACTGAGAAGAGAAGCTTAAACAACCGGGTGTGATACAAGTCAGTATGTGAAAAGGCTTTCACAGAAGTATAAACAAAGTGCCATGAGCCAGGGGTCCTACTGTGGTATGTGTGAAAAGGTGAAGTTAGAGCAGTGAATATGGACTCTGCTTTCTAGAAGGTTAATACTGGAGAGGCGACTGCTGGGAAATTATTTGGACACCTGTGTAGTCGGTTGAAAAATGATCACCCTGGCAATTTGGTGTCTAGTTCTAGTTCTATAAGAGTTGCAAAAATCTTATGCAGAATTTGCCCTTGAAACTGCTCATTCTCACTGGGTAGACATATTGTTCTTTGAGATTACAAATAGAAGTAACTAGATTCATTGGATGCTCACTGTTTTAAATATTAACTTTATAAATATCAACTTAGTCCTTATATCAACTGTGTGAGGTAGGTACCTCTAGCATCATACCCATTTTACAGATGAGGACACTGAGACATGGAAACAGTAAGTAACTTGCCCAAGATTTGGCTGCTAAGTGGTGGATTCAAACCCAAGTGGCTGGCTCCAGAGTTGCACGCTCACCACTATGCTGTATAAGTTCTCAAGGCTTCATTTAAAAAGTCAATGGGAATTTCTAGAGACACATACTAAGCATTCAGGGGTGATATTACCTAAGGTCTAGGGTTGTTTTAAAATACTTCAGTATGAAAAGAGGAAGGAAGAATAGATGGAGAAGGCATGGTAAAATGTTGCTAACTATTTAATATAGTTGATGGGTCTATAGGTATCATGATAGCATTCCCTGTTTCCATAATAAAAAATAGAATCCATTGCTAGTGAATTTGAGGACTTAGAAATATTTATTGCCTTACTCTCGATATCAAAAGACTTTTCATTAGTGATCTGGGTAATTTAGGCCAAGACAATGAGTTTCACTAAGTTATGATGGAATGGTGAGTCTACAGATAGAGTGCTCTGTGTATTAAAAACCACTTTACACCTAATTTGACAAATATAATGGCCATATGCCTTTTTTTTTTAACCAGTAAAGATTGATCCTCTTGCCAAAAATATTTGACAGAATAGCAAAATGTTTGAGTTAGAAGGGACTTCAAAGACAACTTCTTCCCAAATTCTCTCTCTATAACTAGGAAAGTTGAAGCTTAGAGATCTTAAGTGATCAGCCCAAGATAAGAGTGGGAACATGAAATGGTTGTTTACAGTCAACACAGTGCTAGTGAATGGAAGTGCAAGAATTAAAACCTGAGTTTTCTGAACTCTAGGGGGTGGGGAGGTTGTCCAACTCCCATCAAAAGGAGCTATGCCCAGAAAAGAGCTGTAGCAGTCCACATGGAGACATGGTCCCCAGGCTCTACTTGTGACTGTCGCTATAGCAGTTGCCAAGTTAGAAGTCAAGGGGGGGAAGAGGAAGAAACAAGCCACCTTCCACTTGCAAATGAAAGGGGCGAAATGGATCTGTCTCCTCCCCTGGTGGTTTCCAAACTTTTAGACTCGAATGGCCCTATTTATTTGTGTGTTTCCTTGCTCACACACCCTATCTGTGTCTCCCGTGATGGGCATAGTTGGAAAAATCATGGCTGTTGCACCTGAAGATACCTCTCAGAGGTGCATTTGGGGCTCTGGCAATGAAACCCACCCCGTGATGGGCCAGGCATTTCCCAAGAGGGAAGGATGCAGACGGTCTTAATGAAAGTGTGTGGAGTCACCACGGCATCACAGTTGACCCGATGTCCTTATCCTGAGAATTCTTGTAGGGCACTTCAAAAGCTAAAAATCTCACCTTTCCCAAGTCTGGCGCACGCCTTTCTACAACATCCAGCCTGCCTTTGTTGGTGTTCCGACCCTAAGGTCTGAGAGTCTCAAACCATTTGCTCTCAGGACCCCGGCAGGTAAGGTCAAGAAAGAAGCTGGCCAGTAGAAGACTGGGGTGACCTGGGAACAACAAGCCTGGTTCTCATTCAAATGTTTTGTAGTCCTGTGCTGTCCATGCAGAAAGGCTGGGCAGGTCAGCTGCCCACTGGTGGCTTCTGATATAAGGAAAGAACCTGGTGAGGAAAGCAAGAGACCTGGAACCATGCCCAGCTCCCTGGGCCCTCGACACGATGTCCCCTTTGCAGAGCCTGTTTTCCTCAACTGTAGAACGTGGGTTCCTAAGGCTTGGCCGCACCGCCACCTCTGACAGTCGAATTCTGGAATCTGTGCTAGAGGACACGTCCCCAGAACCACTGGAGCCAGTGTCTGGTCTGACATACATTTCCAGAGTGCCTGCAGGCCTCCTTGGTCTGACTGACTTTGTAGCACTGTGTCCTTGAGGTCTTTGTCGGATGGGTTTGTGACATCATCTTTAACCTTTGGTCCCTGCAGTACGGTGACCCACACTTAACAACCATTCTGGTACCGCTCTCTGTCAGAGGTTGCTTTTTGCCAGTGTTCTTTCTGGAAGCCGCCATGAGCAGACAAGCTTAGAAAGGGTGTTCTCTTCGTGTTGTTTCAGGGAAAATAGAGAAAGTCAAACCTCCTCCATCCCCCTCACCTGAAGGCCCCAGCTCACAGCCTGACTTAGCCCCCGAAGAGGCTGCCGGATCCCAGCGGCCCAAGAATCTGATGCAGACCCTCATGGAAGACTATGAGACCCACAAATCTAAAAGGCGTGAGAGAATGGATGATAGTAGTGTAAGTTTTTCCTCCTTTCCTCTTTCACTTCTCTGAGGGCGAACGTCCACGTGGCATGCAGTTATCCCCGTTCAGGCACGGGTGTGTATGCTGTCGTCTGGCCCGTGTCCTGGCTCTGAAACCAATTCTCAAATGTGTCCGTTTAACGTGCCTGGAGTTGGGTTTGGGTGTTTTGCCATGTTTCTCAAAAATGTGGATGATGCAAGGAGTGGGTCCTTTTGCTGCCAAGTGTAGCTGGAACCCACCGGCGAGGCTGGTGCAGGGGATGTTTGCTGTATAGAAAAAAAAAAAAACCACGTCAGCACAACACAGGAGGAAGGACACAGGCACCCCCAAATCATCTCCGGGTACTCCCTGCTACCATCACTGGCCTGCCCCGTAGAGGTTTAATTTCTCTAGAGAACTTTGATGATGCTGTCCCTTTTACTGTCTACTCTGAGCAGTCCCCTTAAATGTGACACAGCGTGCAGAAGGCTGAATGGGTTTTGGGCTGTTACCAAGCATGTGTGTACAGTTTGGCAGGAAAGAGCCATTTAAAATGACAGTTAGAAACCACAGGGCTACCCTGCTACCCTCGGTTCTCAGCGCCTTTGCATGTGACATTCACATGAGCCGTGAAGGAAATCATCTGCTCTGGAGTTTCTTTCTCCAGTCAGAGACACAGTCTCCATAGCCAGGAGCCCGGGGACCAGCCTCAGGGGGCCCATGCCGACTTCCTGGGGGTCTGGTGGCCTCAGTCTCGTCCATTTATTGAAGTGGTCATTGCCCACCCCCCAGTTTCACCTAGGTCACAAATAGCTTGGGTCCGTTGAAGACATTGCCCAGCTGACCCGGACGGTGCTGGTTTATGCCTGTGTTCCTGGTGTAATTTTTAACAGCATCCCCTTTCACTTTTAAAAACTGCCCCAGTTTGGATAATAAATTGTTGGGTCACCTTAAACTTGAATGCTACGGGCTCACAGTCGGAATCCCATGCCTACTTACTGCCTCGCATATCCTGGTTGGCTAAGTTCAAGGGTTTCGGGACCTGAAGCCAGATGCTGAACGATGCTTTTAAAAATATTTAGTGATAAAGAAAGCGGACACATCTATAGCAGCTGCTGACTCACTTGCTTCCCCCAGGCTCTCCCTTGGGTTTCCACCTAAGCTGCCTAGAACACTGCCTCAGCTGCTCTGTTCGGCTGGAGCATTCGGGGGCCGTTCCTCCTACCGCACGGTGGATGGGGCCTGGCCCTCGGTCACTGTTGCAGACAATTCTGCTGCTGGGGCTCCTTCCCCAAGCCCACAGGACTTCTGCCTATAAGGTCACCTTAGCCAGCACTTCTTTGCAGCCCCACTGAAAATACGGAGTTTACCTTTAGGTATTTTCTGGAGCCTGTGCTTTTGAAGTTCAGTGCTGTAAATGGCTTGTTTTCTTTTCTCCCAGTGAGTCCACACCGTATATCAGCAGCTGTGGTAGAGGTTAGCTGGGGGGCCCCCTTGCATCCTGGCATGGAAGGGGAAGAATGAACGGAACCACTCTGCATGTGACCCTTGCAGGTGTTTTCTAAGCACAGTCCACACGTTGTCGAAGTGCAGATATTAGAGGCAAATACTCCCCACGAAAGTGAAGAGCCCACTGCCACTCATTCCACACACACAGGCTGAAAGCCACCCTCGTGCAAACTCAGGACGCAACCAGATTGGATATCCCCTTTGTATTCAGGAATCTACTTGGAATCAACATTTCAATATGCTAATTATCCCTCACATACTCAACCAGTGGCAGCCTCCCATCTCTGTTTTTCTCAAGGAAATAAACATTTTGCGTAAGGAAGAAACCTATTAACTAATCAGGCTGTTAATATCCCCAGACCTTGGATTCAAAGCCAGGTGTTGTGCTCGCTGTTCTTGATATTACAAGAGAACCAAGTTTGTTGTAGGAAACTCTTAGGAACAGAGCAAAATCTATCCAATCCACTATATCCTCTTTTAAGAGACCCAAAACTTCAAAAACCTACTCGGATTGCTTCTAAAGCACATATGTGACCATCAGCCAAACTTGATTTTAGAGCCACCTGTTCTTTCATCCCTTAGGCCTTTTAGTTCAAGGGATACTTTCTACTGGATCTACATCAGTCACTGGAGAACGTGTTAAAGTTTCCCTGTAGGAATGAACAAACTTCATTTGTTTTCCTAGCTGATCTCTGGCCCCTTCTTTAATCATCTCTCCTACCAGGAGGATAATCATAGGGAGCCAGTGGATTGTTTGATGTTTGCGTACCTGGCTTCCCTGCCGCAGAAGCTGGTAGTCCTGTTTTCCCGGTGCCATTCACATACACTATTCTGAGGGTGAAACACAGCTTCTTAGCTCCTCCACCCTCCAGAAGCCTCACATGGCTCACCTGAGTCCGGTGTCACCTGATGCATCCACCTGCAAGCATTCTTTCCAGTAAAGTCACTTGGTCGCACTCTGGGCCCCTCACAGATGATCAGGAGCAAACCTTGTGTTTGTTTGCTCATAGGAAGCGGCGAGTTCTTTCTGACTGGAATGAAAAGAATTCTTACTCGCTTGCTAAGGAGAAGGAAGACCTAAAAACAAAATGGGGCAGTTAGGATGTATGTGTAGTGATACGGTAGACACATGGTCTTACTGAGCATGAAGGACAGAAGAAAGAGTAGACAGAGGAGTCAAGGGAAGCTATGAGCTGTGCCTGTAGTTTTCACGAGTGGTTTTTGCCAGCCCCCGAGAAAGATATCCTTGCCATTCCAAACAGATTCAGTTTCCCCGCCCCAGAGCAGCAGTGGTCTCTGGAGTCCTGTCCCCAGCTTGTTTCCAGCTTAAATCTTCCCACTTTATAAAAAATCATATGCCGGACCAGAAGGAGGCCGCTGGTTCATGGATCCCCTGCCAGGGGATGGTGTGGGGAGAAGCTGCCGTATTCGGTGGCCTTTTTCATGTCCCTGAGCTGTCCCTCTCTTCTGCTGGAAACAAGGGGGTGGCTCAGAGAACGACAGAAGATGGGAAATTCAATCCTGACTCTCTTTTGGGATACCTACCCACAAGTCACTGCATCGGGGATCTTAAGTCACCTGTGGATGTCCTCCTGCTTTCACAGTTGATGAAAAAGTCAGTAACGAGGAACTGGAAGAAGTCCCTTTTCTTGAGAAGTGATACCCACATGGCCACCTTTGTTACCAGCTCAGACCTGGGGCCGGTGCTACCTGCTGGTTTCCACGCTGTGTGTGATGTGGTCACCGATGAGTGTCTCTGAGCTCAAGGCTTCAGCCAGGCCCCACTGACTAAGTGACCCCTCAGCTAATTTGGGGCTAGGGAGGTTGCTATCCCCACCCTTACCTCCTTACCCTGGCTGTTTACCAGCCTTCACAAGGCCCTTGTAAGAACTAGAAAAAGGCATCCTTTTTCCTCTTCCAGGATGCACCCCGGCCCCTGCCACACTGTGAGGGGAATGGGGGAACTGAGCTGCAACCCCATCCACCCCCTCAGCCTGCTGCTTCTGTGCCTTGCACGCATCACCCAGCCAGACGCAACAGTCATGTTTCTTATCTGGAAATGTTTTCTTTGTGGAAGTGTCCCCTTAGCTGGACCTGATGCCATCTCTGGTCCATCATGTAACACACAATGGACTAATGAATCATAGTTTCCTAAAAGGTTCCCTGATGCCTTGCAAAGGAAGGATATTTAGGCGAAAGTGTTTTTTCTGGCCAGTTGTTCCCTGAGCCTCAGAAGATGATGGGTTCCTGAGTCAGTGATGCTCTTGAACAGGTTGGTGGATTTGCTTTCCCTTTCTCAATTGAAGAGATGCTGGCCTGCATCCAAATTACAGCCTCCTAGACGCATTTAGCCCCAACCCGGCTTCTAGCATAGGATCTACTCTTGGTGGGTTTTCTACTCTCTCTCTTACCCCCAAAATAGTTACTGAGACGTCTTTCAGTCATCACTGCCTGTCTTGGAATAAGAGAAGGCCTCACCTGTTCTCCTGGATTAAGTCAAAGCTGGGGGCTAGCCGTTACCGCTTTTCTAAGAATTCCTCGCACACATTCCCCCTCAAAGCAAGACACCCCGTGGCCATATTTACTCTCAGTGAGTGGATGAGGGAGGCCCATCCTGTGTCCCACACCGCAGGCTCCATGGGAAGCTTAGCCACAAGCAAGGATGTTTTGTGCTGCCCAGATTTCTCCTAGCTGCTCATACCCTGTGAGGGTGCAAAGAGAATTCATCAGACGCGAGTCCTCAGCCTGATCATTACAGAACTATCATTTTTAGTGCTACACATTAGAAGCAGTTAATGACCACAGACATATGACCCCACCTAACCAGTCCGTGGATGCCAGTGGCAAAGACCGAGAAATGCCTCCAGTGTCCTAAGCTGTGTAAATGCAAGGTCATTACCATTACCATAATTCCGGAGGGGGCTGCCCAAAGTCCATTCTTCTATGTCATTTCCCATAGCTGGCCCATTTTGTTCTGAGCATTTCTTGCAGAGACTTTTAGTTTCCTACAGGAACTAAAGGGTCATTTTAGTTCCTACATGATCACCCCACTGTCAGAAACTTATCCAGGCCCCCAAAATAGTGACAAGGATGGCTGTGTGCCCTCCCTAGTCAGTGCCATCCACAGCTCAGGTTCACAGGACCCGCCCCCACAAACCTTGTATCCAAATGAAGTCCTGAGCCTGTGCTTAGGGTCCTCTTTTCGTGGGACAGTGGGCTACAAGACTGCTATGGGGCTCAAAGGAACTACAGGAAGAGAAGAGGCTGGTTGGCTACAGATTCTAGCAAATCCAAAATGGCCATCAAAGACCGCACTGGCGGGCAGCTGTTTGTATATGGGGGCGGGGAAGACTCTTGTTAATTCAAAGCACAGAAAGTAGAAGCAACGAATCTTGAATTAACAAAGTATGGCTTATCTGATATTTTTATTAATGAATAGCAGGGTATCTACATGCTCCAAAAGATACAGATTTTTAAATAAACTAATATCAGATGAAGCGAGTCTG